ACCTCTTGGTGCAGGCAGTATCTTCCCAGGGTCATCAGCTTTCTGCTCTTGATTGATTTGAAAGACACCTTGTAAGGTTTGGCTCCAGTGATTGGTTGACCAGTTTCTGAAGAGCAGTTCTGAACTTGTATAGGAATGTAGAACTGTAGCTAACAAACTGATGGCCCACAGGCTACTTACCATAACTTCTGTTATAGGCTATAGTAAAGATAGCACAACTCAGTGAATTGCATACCTTACAAGGGTGGATTATAGAGTATATGAATGCTATCTTAAAAAGACTGTTAAAGCCAACATTTGTTGGACATTTGTCCTACAATGTAACTTTTTTTTTTACCTTTTCCTTAACTGCTTATTTCTCCTGAGTTAATGATATTTGTGAAAGAGCAAAAAAAAAAAAAAAAAAATTAATGCCTTGTTACCTATCTTTATTTATCCAAGAATCTGCAAAAGAAATACTGTTTCTATCCTATTGCTTTGTTTTTAATTTCCTCATATAACTGGTCTCCCTTGGGAAAGATGGAATAAACATTCAGTTGAAAACCCTTCGTTTTTGACACTATGGCGTCATTTATGTCTGAACTTATTGGTTCTCTTTTTCCAGAGATGGGACTGTACAACTCAAGTGCCCTTGTGTTAGCTGGTAACAGTACATGCCCAGAGAACAAGATGAAGTAGCTGGTCATGAACAAACACTCAAAAATCTGCTGTTAGCCATTGAAGTTGTGTGAGAGGTTGTAGATAACAATTTGGTACTCAAAAAATAGAGGGAACAGAAGCATGGAAAATTCGAACCATAACACTTTGCAAATGCCATAACAGATTTAGATGGTAGATGAGTTCCCTAGACAAAACTGAGCAGAGGAAAATAAGAAGGCAGAGGATTGGATGCCCCAAGGGAGCCAGTAGAGGGGAGAAGGAATGGTCTTACTAGAAGAATGGGAGCTAGGTGGAGACTTGGGGTTTGCCCAATATGATGGGATGGGATGGGTGTTTCCATGTCGAACATGAAGTTTTTTTTCTAGGTAGACTAGAGCTATTCATGTTTGAAGAGGCCTTCACTGCCTGTATTTGCAAAGAGGAAAAATGTGAATTTTTGTAATTACCAATACGGCGCAATACTGTCATCATATTTAATGGGTCTCCTTTTACATGATTTCTTTATTTAGAACGTTTTGTGAATTGTTGGAGAGAAACCACCAAAATATTTTTTCTTACAGGCTTGTCACAAAACAGTGGATCTAGAAGGGTGCCAAGGAATTCATGGGGTTGGACAGACATATTCCTAATGCAATGCAGAAGATGTCTGTTTATTTTTAAGATGATTAGAGAAGAATATTTGGCAGCTTTCCTCAGTGGCCTCTGATACTCTTTAATAACACTAACTTCCTTTTGTTGAACTAAGATATGAAAGTATAGTGTGCTGAAACTCTCCATTGTGCCGACAGTAAATATACTTCTTACTTACTATAAACTTGGCTTATTTTATAGGACAAATAATACAAAATTATGTGGGAGCCATAAACTCTTGATTTCCTGGCAATAGTCTCCCATTATTGTGAATATTGGTAGATTGAAGATGTGATTTCTCCAAAGGACTTAAGTAATTTGGGCATGATTACAGGGACATTGTGTTCTACTTGGCACAAACAATTCCTGCTGTGTCAAAAGACACTACCCTTTAGAGATTAAAGGCCACTTTAAGGTTAGTAAAATTTCAGGGTAAGGAATAAAATATACTGGAGATTTTTTACTTTCCTTTTATTTTTAAAGAGCAGCAGTCATTTGGAAATATTATCAGCATTTATATCTCACCCTGGGTTGTAAAGTCATTTCTTGCTGCAAAGTGGTTTTTACGGTTGAGAACCTGCTGACAGCTGTGTGAGAAAACCATAGAATAACATTTAAGGGACCAAGAAATTCTAGTTTGCATGCAGTTCTCACAACAGGAATAGACATCTCCAGGCCCTCCCGCTGGCCTACAGTAGGCCAAACTCAAAAAAGTACTTGCAAGTTGTCTAGTCTAGAAGCCGGGGATTGTGAGAAAGGAGGAAGTGATGTGTAGGTGCCTGTTCCCACACATAAACATTTCTTCAGCAGATTTAGGTTTTCTGTGAAATAGAACAGAAAAGCCAGAAACTGGTCAGAGTGAAACTAATTAATGAAATCCCTGTATCATCTCCATTAGCCTCTGTCGACAGGATAAAAATTAATGTCATGCTGGATTTTTTTTGTGTGATACTCCGTCACTCTCATTCTTTGAAAGACCGGCAGCCTAGACTCTCTTTTTGCGCTGTACCCTGAACTTCTGCCACATCTGTTTATCAAGATCTTGGGGTCTGTAGGACCTCATGCAAAATCACCCCTGGGTTGGCATTGTCCTATGAAGGGCTTTGTTAGGAGTGTTGTGCATATTTTGTTGAATTATATTTATAATAATTTCCTTAATGGCTCAAGCAGTTGAGCATGTCTAAGTTAATGTTTTTTCAATGCAGGAATCAATTTGGGGACTGCTATTGTGAGATAAACTCATTTTTCAGTGGAAAATGTACATTTTCCCTTGTTCCAAGAAGAGAATAGTTGTAACAAGGACTAGCTGTTCTGAAGGCTGTCCACGAGCTATTACTTAACCCCAGGCTCGCTCTTCCCAGTAGCTATTTTTGTGTCCTGCGTACAGTGTCTTTGCCTGTTTCTCTCAGAACATATTTCAACATTTTCCAAAGTTGACTGTTTGCTCAGCAGGCATCTTATACCCCAGAGCTTCTTAATCTCCTTATTTACGAATTAAAAACATGAAAAATATATGTGCAAGATTATACATTTCATATTCTTTCTTTTAGTTGGGAAGTTCAAGATTTCTCTAAGACAAGCCTATCTCAATATTCCACCAACCAGGAAGATTAATGTTTATAAACAAATACTGTAGGAGCAGGACATTTTTTGTTGTACTATTTCCGAGCTAAATTCCCTAGGCTTAGTTTCCTCATTTATAAAATGGAGTTACTAATAGTTCTGGGGTGAGTATTACATTAGTATTGTGCATATTACATGCGATTGTGAATGTGAAGAGCTTAGTACAGTGCTAGACATGGGGAGAGCACAGCAAATGCTAGTTACAGTGGCAGTGGTGATGATAAAGGACTGGCGTCTCAGGAACTTGTGTTGTGGCATTATGACATAGCATTTTCGGATAAGAAATCAGATCTCATAATCTGAAAATGTTATTTGAATTTGCTACTGCAGAAGGGTAAATTGCTTTGGTATCACTTAATGAGTTGCCATTTAGTCCTAGTCTGTGTGTGCACGTGCACATGTGAGTGTATGCACATGTATGCAGGTGAGTAGCAGCCTTGTCATGTCTTGTGTCCCTACCTGGGTATTCAGGAGTTTTGCCTTAACAACCTTTGCTAAACCCAGCACAGGTCTTAATATTGTGTCGTGCACCCAGTAGGTTTTCTATAAATATTGAATATTTTTATTCAATTAAAAAGTCAAATTGTCATCCCAAATTGTACTAGTAAATGATATTTTGACCTCATGAAGAATTTTTTTTTTATTTTTAAAGGAGATGGAATTAAACTAGGAAATAGGTCCTCGGAGACTACCTAGCCTCTTTTCTTAAGGATTCAGCTGCCTCTCTGGTTGCAGAGCATAGTGCCTATCCTGTAATTGAAATGACGTAAATGCTGGCTAAGACCTTCATCCTTGAGATCTTGGTACCAAAGAAATAGAAATGAACTTAGGCTAACAAGAGGGGATTTACTGAAAAGATATCTGAGGGACCACAAAATGTATGGTAAACTGGAGAATGGGCAGAGTCCAGGGGAGTTTGGGCAAGTTAGGAGATGACCCAGAGCAGTGGTTTATGTCATAGGAAGCATCAGCCCAGCAGTGACAGGGAAGGAGAACCCAAAGTCATGTTTCTTTGTCTGTCAGTGACTAGTTCCAGAGACAGAGTCCTATACCAGGCTTAGACCACAGGCTCACAGCTGGGCTCCTCTGAGAGCCCGAGTGAGGGAAAAAGGATCTAACCCATTGACTTCTGTAATGGGGTATGGTACCCAGGACCGTCCTTTTTACACAACTCCCCACAGAGGAGAAGCAGTTTTGTTTTTTTTTAAAGATTTATTTATTTGTGCATACATAACTGAGGTGCAGGCCAGAGGCTCAGGGGCAGTGAGAGGCTTCACCAGAGACAGAGTGGGGAGCAAAACAGGCAGATCGACGAAGTCCACTGCTGAGGGGAGCAGCGGGCGGGTCAGGAGAGGTCTGCCACGCCATGTGGTCACCTCCGGGGCAGGCGGGAATCGAACTCATGCAGAAGCGGCTCTAGATTCTCAGTGTTGTGCTTTTAACCCGCTGCGCTACTAGGGAGGGCCGAGAAGCAGTTTTTAAGAAGAAACCAGGGGCTGCTAGGAAAGGACATCAGCTTCTGGATGACAAAAAAGGGCAAATACCCACCATTCTACATTTTTCGTATTTGACTCCTAACTTAGAGCATAGTCTATAGTCTAGCCAGTCTTTATTTCGCCTATGCAAACCTTGGAACACATTCTGAGATAGTCGGCTTTATTATTCCAGTCCTCTGTGAAGTTCAAAGACAGTCCTCCCTGCCATTCTCCCCCTCATCTGAGTGCGAGTATCCTTCCAAAGAAATTCGATAAGAACACAGGAGTTGAGAATCTTAATCAGTGTCAGAGACTAGAATGAGCTACTTTTAATTTGTTTTCTATATAAGTAGAAATAGGTTTAGAGATATTATTTCCCACCATTTTGTTGTTGTTGTTGTTTGTTTCCCATAAACAGCTACCATGGTCCCAGGGAACTGATCAATTGAAATTTGGGGCCTGTGTAGGTACAATATATTTCCTTCCATCAGAGGTCATGTTTGTGACACAGTATTTACTTTGAAAATCGCCCTGAGGTTGGAGGTTGGTTGGTATGGGGTTTTTAAAATGCCACCCGAATTTCAGTTACTATTCTTTGCTTTTATGTTACAGGGGAAAACTTACCCATTTCGGGGTGCCTTTCCTCCGGTATGGAATCCTATTGCATATCTGGATTACAACAATCTGTGGCGGACAATGGATAACATGGGAAAGGAGGTACAGTATATGGTCAGCTTGCACATGACCTGTTGCTAAAGTAACAGTAACAACTGTTTATCCTTTCCTAGTGCAAGGAATGTTGCTCAGGACATTGATGCATATAATTTCAATGCACCCAGCCTCGCTGCCAAGCTGGCAGTATTTCTGCTTTGCAGATGTGAAAAATGAGTGCCAAGGGGTTATGCAGTTTCTCTGAGACCACACAGCCAGAGAACCAGGATTCAAATTTGCAACATCCTGTTATTAGTATCAGGTGCTTTGAACTCCATGCCATTGAATATTTACTAACTGATCTTTTACCAGATATCTTACTTATAGTTGTCTTACCCATATTTGATGCCATTTAAGATAATAAAGGTGAGAAAGATTTGCTTCCCCCCTCCTTTTTTTTTTTTTTTAACTTACCCTCAGACTTTGTAACATCACTTTCTCAAACCTAAATTAGAAACCTAAATGGGTGGTTAGCTTTCAGTCTTCATCATTATATATAAAGTTATACACACAGGACTACATTATTATCATTATTATTGCAGCAGCATTAAGGATTAGAATCCAAAGAGTCTTAACCTCACTACTATCTATACATAGAAGTCTGCCAGTCATACATTCTAATATAGAGAGAACAGTTTTTGAGGTTTCCATGAGGCCAAGACAAGGCGGTGGGCATTAACCAAAACACTTGAATGCGGGCCCTTCTTTCTCTGCAGATCCCAGCTGATGCACCGTGGGATGCCCCCCATGCTGAGGAATGGGATAAGATGACCATGAAAGACCTCATTGAAAAAATCTGCTGGACAAAGTACTCTTGACTTTAAATTTTACCTTTCTCTTCCCTTCTGATCTTTCTTTTTCTATCTTGAGCTGCGGTGTTTTCCTTAATAACTTAGAAGGAAAAAGCTAAGGGGAAACCAAATGAACTTTCAGTCAGTAGCAGCTCTAAACACATTTTAGCTATGCCAGAACAGGTTTAAGCATAACATGAATTTAAAACATAGGAAAAGTAGGTGAATGAAATAGAACTTTTAAACGAAAGAACTGTATGATTTGCAGTGAAATGAATAATTGTGTTTTTAGATGCTGTTAGCTACAGAAGCATTTAACAAAGATATTTCCAAGGTACTTCAATATTTATAGAAAAATAGGAAACTGTTCTTTATTAATGAAGATGTAATCTGTATAATCTTTTCTATTAGAAATTGCATTATTATCTGAACTAACTTACAGTTTGTTCACTCAGCATTTTAAGCCTGTGATGTGAAGGCACTGGGGGATGGTAATGAACTTGTTAGCATGGCCCTGCCCTTGAGAAGTTATAATCTTCTAGCAGAGGAAACTAACAATATACCCATATATTCATAATGCTAGGAGAATGACTGTAACAGTGAACCTGACCTTCTGAGGGTAAAGGAAAGATTCCTTTTGAAGCAGTCTTTATACATAAACTGAAGAGTTAGTGCATCTGTTAAGATGAGCCAGAAGCAAGGTGGAGACTGGAGAAGGTAGATGGCGTGGAGGCATGGTGTCTTACAGCAGTGAGACATAGTGACTAGGGGTAGGTAATAACATGGTTCATTGGTGCTGTGGGATGGTGTCTTCCATGAATGAGCCACTGCATATGTTGGAAGCAAGAAGGATGTGTGGTGTGAGGGTGGTTATCTTCCAGGAATTTGCCACAGTAGATGGAGGAAAATGGAAGTGTGGGGGATGGAATCTTCCAGGAATAAGCCATGGTGGATGGGGTAATCAGAAAGAATGGACAGTGTATTTGGATGGATGGTTGGGCCTAGAATGAACCACCAGTGGATTGTGGGTTACGGGTGGAGACAGGATGAATGGAGAGTGTGGGGATTAGCTCTTCAAAAAGGAGCCACATACTGGATTGGGGCAGACATGAAGTGTGAATGGTATGGGGAGATGGTATCTTCCAGGAATTAGTCACAGTAAATGGGCAGAGAGAGGGAGGATGGATGGTATGAAGCATGGTATCTTCTAGGAAGGGATGTAATGGGAGGTTGGAGAAGTGGTTAAAGGCTGATGGTGCAAGACATTTTGTTCACATTCAAGATTTTGCCTTTTGCATAAAGGCCATTGGAGGGCTTTAAGTAGAGGGTTGTTTTGATTTTGCACTTTTAAAAGTCTTCATTGGCCGTAGTGTGGAGAAGGATACAAATGGGCATGTGGGATGACCAGTTGGGAGTCACCACTATTATAACCCAAATGAAGGTTGGCGTGGCAGACCTCTCCTGTCTCGCCCGCTGCTCCCCTCAGCAGTATACGTTGTCGATCTGCCTCTTCTGCTCCCCACTCTGTCTCTGGCGAATCCTCTCACCGCCCCTCACCTCTGACCTGTACCCCAGTCTGTATGCATAAATAAATAACTAAAAAAATGCATTCGTTCAGATACTGAGTTTATGAAGTTTTTTCTTTACCCCTCCAAAAACAGTAGACATGCCTTTTAACCACAGTAATTTGTGTATTAGAAGCACATTTCGTGTGAAGCTTGGCTGTATTTATGGTTGACTCCATCTCTTGTTCTATACTCAGGACAGCTAGGCAGTTTGCAACTCTCTTTGTGAATGTCAACGTGACCTCTGAGCCTCATGAGGTCTCCGCCCTGTGGTTCCTGTGGTACGTGAAGCAGTGTGGAGGCACCACTCGGATATTCTCAATTACCAATGGGGGCCAGGTATGGGGTGTTCCTTCCTAGGCCAGAATGTCATTTGTGCTTGGCTCTCACCCACAGTAGCCTCTTACTAATTGCTTCTTTGTTTTGAAACATTCATGATTTGCAGTGTGACACGATCTCAACATGCTCTACTAAAGAGAAAATTGCCCACTTTTCTCATTCCTGAAAATAAGCTCCATGACTAAAGAATATTTCATTTTAAATTAACGTTAGGCTTTGAGAGTTAATTTCCTTCTTTTGAGAGGTAGCTAAAACTAGGCTATTTATGTGTGACATAAATTACTAATATAATTTCCCAAAGAGTCTAGTACCTGGATGATTATACTTAAAGTCATCTCTATTCTAGACAGGTTTTTGTACCATTCTGTACCTTAGAAATACTCTTCTTTGTTAATTGTTATCAAATAAAAGTAACTGTTATTTCTTCAGTAGTAAATTGTGCGTTTTTGGTTCTAAATATTTGTTGCCCACTTTTGTCTGCTCAGCCTCCATACCACTTCTGTTACTGCTGAGTGAACTCGTTGGCTCATTGGCTAGACACAGCAAGCTGACAACAAGACCAGAATCCTGATTTCTTATTTTCTGGATTCTGAGATTCTTTATTTCCGGGCTCTCCTTCATCAAGAAAAAAAAAAAATCTCTTTTCTAAGAGTTACACCTAGCAAGAATGGGATTTAATTAAAAGAAGTTTACTTCTAGTTTGTCAACTGTTCCAAAATGCAAACTGTGTGTCTTTCTCTGTTACGTAAATGACTCCTCTCAGAAGATTTCTAGAAGTCCCCAAGCTGTTCTTGTGGCCCCAAGAATTATTGCTAATTTGACCCTTACCTGCCAAACAGGAAAGTCTTGCATTTCAGAGTGTCTTTACTTATGCAACATTTCACATTACCTCTATTTTACTTCCTGAGGTATCTTGACTCATTTTATATTTATGGCCCTCATTGAGAAGAACCAAGACACATCTAGCCTAACTCTATATGACCTTTTAGAAAGAACAGTTCAGATTATAAACCATGACCTGTTAGCACAATATTTTTACAGGGAACTTAGATTTATTTTTCAGTAATTAGTTTAACAAATATTAGACATGGTAGGGAGGATAGTGAACAAGATGAAATTAATTCATGGTCTTTCCACAGTGTTAAAATTCAAAGTATCTCTTGGAAAACAGAGATCAAACTATAAATTAAATGGTTCATTTTTCCTGAGGAAAACAGATCATAAATTTAGCTCTGAACTAAACACCTATGGGGACATTTTTGTAAAGAACCTTGTTGGTGCCATTAGAACAATAGCCAGTTATAAAAGCACAAAAATTACTGCATGTCTGTTCATTCCATGTTGTCTGAAGGTGTGCAATTGAGATACCTAATTGTCATATGTTGGGCTCTGCCTCAGTTTATCAGAGTGTATTTATAACCATTCAAAGAATCATCTACAACAATCTAAAAATACTCCCCTGAGTCTTATAGCTCTCATTGTAACAAGAATTTGCCTCCTTAGATTAAGGTGGAACCATTTCCAAGATGAGAGTAACTGCTGGTTTATCAGACTGCTCAAGGGAGCTAATTATTTAATTAGGTTAATGATTAAAAAGTAGCAAAGTCCCCCAGGGCTTCCTCCATGCCCTTCACAAATAAGCACTTAAAGCCCACACACTTGCTGATATTTGCACTACTGTAAAGGTGGCACTGATGTCAGGGAACACTGCTTTGTATTGTGTGACTACATAAACTAGTAATGGCTTTCTCCTGCTGGAAGCTGTGCACAGCATGTTTGAGGTGTCTTGGTAGAATGTACCTTTATGCTAATCAGTTCCTCAAGTGTTCAGAGTGTGACGTATGGCCTGTGACTTTCTGGAGGTTTTCTAGTCAGTGCCAAATAATGACTTTCCTTCTTCAGACTTGTATAACATTTCCCTTCTCACTTGCCTTCTCCTGTAGGAACGGAAGTTTGTAGGTGGATCTGGTCAAGTGAGTGAACGGATATTGGCCCTCCTTGGTGACCGAGTAAAGCTGAGTTGTCCTGTCACTGGTGTTGACCAGTCAGGTGAAAACATCATCATAAAGACGTTGAATCACGAAGTGTATGAGGTAATTCACTCAGTCAAAAAGAGTAAATATTAAATACACCTGTGTCTTCTGCACTTTCTACTTATGATCTAAGCAATGGCATAATTAACACCGACATGTTTCTGGCTCAGTCTTTGAAATTATCATTTACTCGACCTCCGTTCTATTTTGTTGCCTTATAGTAGCCTAGTTTTTATGTTATTACTGCTTGATGTCATTCAAAATCATTAAAAAAAAGATGTTTTCTGCTCTTTGGGAAGACCCTGGTTCACATCTCAGGTGGTATCTTATGTCTGTGCGTTACAGTGCAAATATGTCATTAGCGCCATCCCTCCAACCTTGACCACAAAGATCCACTTCACACCCATGCTGCCAATGGAGAGGAACCAGCTGATTCAGCGTCTGCCCATGGGGGCTGTCATCAAATGCATGATGTATTACAAGGAGGCCTTTTGGAAGAAGAAAGGTAAGCCACTGCTCCTCATGTTTAAATTGCACTTCGTGAAAGAACCAAACTTTCTGAGGAACATTATATTAGACACTGAAACAAAAAATGAATAATCTTTTCAAATTGGTAGGTAAAGCATTGAAAATCATAGTCCATTTCCTCGTAGCCCCTGGTAACACAAAATTGACCACGAGCACTTGCTGCCAGGGGCTGGAGGAAAAGGGATGGCGCAAGTCCAGGGCACCATGGCCACCACCGGAAGAGCACTGCTTTGAAGTCACACATTCCTGGGCTTCACTTCTTCCTTATGTGGCCTCAGGCATGACACGCCTTTTGCAGGCATTAAGTTTGTTAGGTTATATAATTGCTCTTGTTTTGGGGGTTTGGCACGATTAAAGCATTTGTTCAGCCTCAGACTCTTGGTGTAAAATATTGACAGTAAAGCCTACTGTCTGTTTCGGGGGAGGAGGAAATGAGGCAGGTACTGGGAACATATGGTGACTTCATGTTTGCAGAGTCTTCCTGTCACTTTTTCCATGGGTTGCACCCTCTTTCTCTGTCTACCTCTTTCAGATCCCCTCTTTCTCCCTGTGTATTCCAAATCTACAGGACCATCTTACCAATTTAGCTATGCATGGAACATCTGTGACCTTTATGGAGGGCCATCAACATGGGCCATTTTCCATGTGCCTGGCTGAATGGGCATCTTTGAATTGTTAGTGTATATTTAGCAGGGAGTAGCTTCTAACTTCGGGCAAAGCCAAATAGTTTAAGATGTGCCTTTAGCAAAATATATATACATACATAATTTCTATATCTGAGTCTCCGAATAGGTCAGTCTAATCTAGGGAATTTTCTCCTGGTTAAGATTTCTGTGGTTGCATGTTGATTGAAGATGAAGAAGCCCCAATTTCAATAACCCTGGATGACACTAAGCCAGATGGATCACTCCCTGCCATCATGGGGTAAGTCCTACATTCTCCAAACCATGTAAGTGATTGGATGTTGTCAGTCTACTGTTTTGGAATTGCACTCAAGAAATTATAAATAATTCTATAGAAATAAGTTAGGTTTTCATTTATTAAAATATTATGGTAATGTTTTATATGTGGCATAAAAACACAGAAAATTTACTAAAATAGAAATCATCTTGAACTTGTGCCTATATACTTATTTTCCCAATAAAACTTACACATTGGGTCTTCCTGGTGGCTCAAGGGGTTAAGTTTCAGCACTTTGAAGCTGTCAGCAGCCACTGCAATATGAGTTCGATCCCTGTTCATGGAGATGACCCATTAGGTGCAGCAGACCTCACCTGTCTCACCCGCTGCTCCCCTCAGCAGTGTATTTCAGTACATCTGCCTGTTCTGCTCCCCTCTCTATCTCTGATCAATCCTCTCATTGCCCATACTCCCCACACCTCTGACCTACACCCCAGCTCTTATATGCGTAAATAAAACAATTTTTAAAAAAGTCTTACACATTGAAAACTGAGTGGAAGAAGCAATTACACAGGCAACCTGGTAGACAGCCCCACCTTGAAGCATATTGTCCACAGCTGTTTTTCCTGACAAACCTCCCAATGTAGGCTTTCTGGGCTTTTTCCTTTTTTCCATTCCAAACACCAGCTACACCGCAAATGTTAGTTGGTACCCTGAAATAGAAGTCGGACAACCAATTAGGAAGTGCTCTTTGAGGTAGAGTCAGGCCTTGACTGGATGGTACTTTCCCCGTAGGTCACTTCACAGCTCTCCCTCACCAGAGATGGTCTAGGGTGAGGCTGTGTGTCTAGAAGAGACTCTTTCCCTTACCCCCATCCATGCACACACCGCTCTGCCCTTTGGAGACAGGAAATCCAGATAGCGAGGTTGATTCTCACAAAAGGACTGCTACAGAGTGATGTAGTCTCCCAGTTGCCTTATCTTGCAGTCCTGCTCAAAAGTATACAAACAAAAGAACTCTTTATTCTACAGCTCAAGAGCACAGCTTCTGTAATAGTGACCTTTAGAGACCCGTGGTTTCCTCTTTTCCCCTGGGAAGTGTGTCTTCTAGGGAGCAGAAGGGAGAATTGAGCTCATCATGCACATTGCATCGTTTGAGGTAAATTACAAAACCAAAAGGAGCCAGCCAACTTAGAAAGCAGTCTGTGCCACAGGGCTGCCAGTGAGGCATTTTGTAATCACTTCTTTGGATGGAAAGAAAGTATGAAAACTAGCACCAGCCTCCCTGAGAAGAGCAAGTGCTCACAACTGAAACACCTCAGGAACAGCACCTCTTTCTAACGCTCTGACCTCACTGGACAGCACAGACTATGGATTGTTCATTCCCCATCGTCTTTTGTGTGCCAGAGGAAAGCCAAGGTTTTGAGGCAGAGGTTTTAGGAAATGGTCAGTCAAAACCAATCCAGCTGTGGGTAGAAAAACATTGATGTTCTTCTTGCCTTGGAGTTAGGTATTGTGGTATTCACCCTTCTGGACTTTACTCAGCCTGAACTGCCAAGGACTCACAGGGCAGGTGTCTTCCAGATAATGGACTTATTTAGACAGTTCTTAAAAACTGATTTCTAATCTGCTTTATCTGAAGAATTGCCCTCACGCTGTTCTTGCCTTGAAGATATATTGCCTCCACCCATTTCTTTCCTCAGGCAAGGAAAGCCTTGAAAGTTTGGGTGGGGGGGTTGATTGCCCAGCACTGTGTGATAACTGTTACCTTTTGAAAACTAGATAGGATCTTGTACTTTAGAACTTGTATTAAAGAACTGTTTATGTCCCCAACCCAAAGCCAGCATGTTTAATTTTCTCAATAAAATAAAGTTAAAGGTCGGTTGTCCTTTAATTAGATGGTTAGAATTAGATCATGACCATGGTTAGAATTACATCAAAAAGGTGTATTCCATTCATTACTTGAAACGTGACAGAAACAGCCAATACCAACTGTAACTTGGAAAAGGAAATATTAAAAATACCCAGGATCTTAAGTGGTTTTCAGATAAATCATTTAATCTTTCAGCATATATTCATGATTTTCATTGAAATACTGCATAAGTCTAAACTGTTTGCTCTGTGTTTAACCCTAAAATTTAACTAAAGCCTTTACTAGTGAGCTTATAACATCAGGTGTTAAATCAAGCCAAGTTATGACTCTGTCCCATAGAGTTCAGTAGCTCAAATTTCTTAAACAGTCCACAGCTTCCTCTGAAATACTATTCTCTGGATTAACACAAATTCATGACTTCTAGAATGAGCTCAAATAACAGCCCTGAAGGAATTGCCAATCAAATTTAAGGAACATTTTATTTTTGGCATAGGGGAGAAGATGACATATCTGTTTTCAGCCCTTGCATTTTCAGTCCTGATCTACTTGTCTTTCGATGTAGAGAAAAAGAATATGACTTAAAAACTTTTTAAGTGGAGAAATAATTTCACTGTGATTTAGCTCCTTTGGGTTTTTGAAAGCTTTCTAATAATACTTATAACTAAGGACTTCATGTCACAATTCAATTCTTTAAAATATATGTTCAGTTAATAACACCAATATGAAAATAGAATATACTTCACTGAAGGGAAGCTGATGAATTATAACTGAGTTACTGAAATTGGGGATGGTGCTATGCCATTTTTTCCCCTAGGAAGTGGAGACTCTCTAAAATAAAAATTTGGATGTAGGAGGTTTCTTGGACAGTACCTGTGGGAAGGGAAGGATGGAGATTCTTTGGGATCCAGTGTTGTCCCACTGGTGGCCCCAGTCATCCCATAGGGAGCTCTGCATTGGGGTTGCACTTCAGCATTGAGGCAACAGGTGGGCCTTGGTCTCCACCACACCCCAGAGCCAGTAGTTCTGGGGAGGGGAGGCATTGAGGGTGGATTGCTGGGGAAGGGGTTGGATATATCCTCAGGGTAATGTTGCTAAATCCTGGGTGGCCTACCATGGGCGCCATTACAGACACTTATTAATACTTATAATTCCAGCTTTTATCAAGAATTGGCATAGGGCAGCAGTCATTAGCTGCAGGATAATTAATACAACATTAATCCATTAGACTTTTGATTTCTTACTGCTCAGCCAAGAATTGTACTAAACGATAAGGGCAAAATATTGAGTAGGAGGTAACCTGGCATTTAGAAGCCCACGTCCTCGTAGGTGTTTTCAGACACAGAGGCAGACCTGAGACACCAGGGCATTTTCTCTACAGAGGGACAGCCTGGGAAGATGTGGGAGAGCTTATCTACACTGAGTAGGTAGAGGCAAGAGCCCTTCAAAAGGGCTGAATTTTCTAAGAGGGATGTAGGGGAACTCAATAAAGGGTCAGAAAAAAATAACAATAAAAAACCCCAAATCAACAGGCAACTATACATCAGAGGCATTCTGCAGTGGTGGGGGAAGGAGAGGGATCAGACAGGGGAGGAAGAACACAAGGGACTATGTGATGGTGCAGGGGGAGCTGCTGGTGGGAAATTCACGGGGATACCTGAGAGGAGAAAGCAAACATTGTACTAAAGTGAAGAATGAGGTAAAATATAAATATAAAGTAAAAAGGGGCAAATTCTTGAGATAAATAGCTGTAATCTGGTTGTTCACACGTGACTTCTCTCTCTCCAGCTTCATTCTTGCCCGAAAAGCCGTCCGACTTGCCAAACTCCATAAAGAAATAAGGTAGGAATATACCTCTGAAACAGAAACAGTTCACTTTGCATTGTGCTTGTTACACCAACAGCAGTATGACACGTCATGAAAAACCAACAGTTCACTGAATTCTCAAAGCCCTGACAAATCAACCTTTTTCTATTTTGCAATAGTTCTCTTGATTCTGTTATTGCTATTGAGCATATATTAAGTCATTACATACCTGTTATTTTTACAGTGGTTGAAAGGGTTTTCTTGCAAGATAGATGGAGAAAAATAATAGAAAATATTAGTTCTGAAAGAAGCCGTAGAAGCTGAGTCCTCATCACATTGTAATGCCATCATCAGCTTTCCAAGGGTTTCTCAAATTTGTGTCTTTTGAAAAGCAATTCCATAAATATAGGCTTTGTAACCGTTGCAACTTGTATACATAAAAATATTTCCCGCGCCCTCCCTGGTGGCGCACTGCACTAAGAAGCTTAAGCCACTTCAGCATGAGTTCAATTCCCGCCTGCCCTGGAGGTGACCCACATGGTGTGGCAGACCTCTCCTGGCCCGCCCGCTGCTCCCTTCAGCAGTGTACTTCATCGATCTGCCTGTTCTGCTCCCCGCTCTGTCTCTGGTGAATCTTCTCACCTTCTGCATCTCTGGCCTGTACCCCAGTTCTGTATGAATAAATAAATAAATCTTTAAAAAATATATTCCCCACTGATTATCTAGGACACAACTCCTGATACTCTCTTCCCCAAGAACTTCTTAGTTATATAGGACAGTGGGGTTTCTTTGTTTTTCCCTTTCTTTTTCCATTTCTCTCTTCTGACTTGTTGTATTTGTTTTATTTTGCCTTGGAATCTTTTGTTCATGTAGAAATCTGTCTTCAGAATTGAGGGTACCAGAGGGAACAGGAGGGTGGTGGGATCAAAGGGGTGGCGGGACCCATTGGCCTATGGGGGAGGACTATAGGTCCTTTGGTGGTGATCGTGGTGTAGTAGCATAAAATCTTAATGTGTGTGCATGTGTACACACAATCATACAGTGTTGCACAATGAGTCAGCACAACAAAAATAATACAATTAAAAAATCTTACCTGGAGATAGGCATCTAACGGTTGGAGAATTGCTTTGGGAATTTCTGGGCTTTACATTCTTTAGCTATTGAAGATGACCAGTACACATACCAATATATAATTGTTTTCAAGTTTGATTTTAAAATTAAAAATTGAATCCACTAGTAGTCTCTGTTTGAGTACACTTTCATGACTTTGGAAGTCAAAAAATAAAAAAAGGCTTCAGAATGAGTTCCCCCATGTTTGCATATGGATTTCTTTTTTTTTTTTTTTTGAACAATTAAGAGGTATCAGGAAGGGAGCTATTTTAATACCCATCATCAATGAAGAATTTGGAATCTAGTGACAGGGAAAGATTAATCCGAGGCTCCACAGCTAGCTTGTGACAGTCAGGAATAAGTAGCATTGAAAATACTTTTTGTTTTCATTACACCATGCTAAATTTGATATTTTCTTTTGGATTTCCTGCATTCCTTCCTTATTAATAGTAAAATAAATACCAGATTGGATGTAGACATTTGGTTATGATTCTACAGGCTGTCGAACTTCATGAACATTTTTATGAAGTCGAAATATGTCATTGACTAGAGCATTGGTTTTCAGAACCAACTATTCAAAATTGTTCAATTTTTAGAAAAACATTTTTTTTTTTGAGGTCGGTAGATTATGAGGCCTAAGTATTTCTGATTTTTACACTAGCTTGTGAAGTTATTATGATGAGTAGGCAGATTTAGAAACCATTAAACAAATTCAAATACAAGATGATTTACAATCACCTCTTTTGGCCATCATTTAAAAGATGTTCCGTTCTTTTTTGAGCCTAATGAATTTATCAGCTTTCCTGTCTTATATATGTTTATCAACAACATTTAATTCTAATGAAAGGAAAGGAAGGGGGAAATAATTTCCTAATGTATTTGCACAAATTTGTCCTTAGCTCATCTAGCGATATTAAATATAGTAAACAATGAGTTATATTTCTGTTTATCACTCAATGAATGTTGAAACTATTCTGTATAACATTGGGGTGAAGTAGGTAGGAATCAGTCATCTCAGAGTAGGAGAGAGGGTGCCATCCTAGACTGAGGATGGATTTGATTCAACAAACACTTATTGGGTACCTACAGATGGGATGCTCAGGAGAATAGAACTTTGGCCCTTCCATTAATTAGCTGGATGATGTTGAACAAGTCTCTTCAGCATACTGATCCTCACCTTCCTCATCTCTGAAATGAGGGGCTTGCATTTAGAATTACAGAAAGAGAAACACAGACAGATGGTTGTCTTGAGACATCTTCCAGTTCTTCCATTCCTTTATGATCATTAACAGCCCCTTGGAGAAACCCAAACTTTCCCTATCTGTACTGGAATTAGGAGGCTTTAAGGTAACCACCTGGGCCCTGCCTGGTGGTGCAGCGGGTTAAGGCACAGCACCAAGAAGCTTAAGTCACTTCCGCATGAGTTCGATCCCCACCTGCCCCAGAGGTGACCACATGGCGTGGCAGATCTCTCCTGACCCGCCCGCTGCTCCCCTCAGCAGTGTACTTCCTCAATCTGCCTGTTCTGCTCCCCACTCTGTCTCTAGTGAATCCTCTCACCCTCTGCATCTCTGGCCTGTACCCCAGTTCTGTATGAATAAATAATCTCTAAAAAAAAAAAAAGATAGCCACCTGATGTGTGGTAGCATCTCAGGAGTGGCATTTGCCTCTCCCTTATAACTTCTCATGGTAAAGTGGTGGCAGTAAGCAACAATTCCACCTCCTTTTCCTGACTTAACACTGTGTACCTGTTAGATGGAAGTTCTGAGAATTATATGTAAGTGCCAGCATCTAGATACATCTGTAAGTTTACATTTTACCCTACATTTTTTAGAGATATAATAAAAATATTTACTTTAGTGACTGGCAACATAAACAGTATTGTGTAAAATGTTCCTTTTATTACCAGTAAATATAAACTTCTCTCCACCCCAACCCACACACACATTTTGGCCTTTTTCTCTTAACCTTTTATTTAAATTTATTTAAAACTTTACCACATTTTCAGCAAGAAATTCCCAGTTGCGGGCCCTCCCTTGTGGCACAACTGGTTAAAAGCACAGCCCTATGAAGCTATCCGCAGCCACTGCAGCACAAATTCTATCCCCAGCCAAGGAGGTGACCCACATGGCATGGAAGACCTCTCCTGACCCACCTGCTGCTCCCCTCAGCAGTGTATTTCAGTAGATCTGCCTGTACTGTTCTCCACTCTGTCTCTGGTGAATCCTCTCACCCACAAAACCTCTGGCCTGTACCCGTTCTGTAAGCATAAATAAATCTTAAAAAAACGAATTTCCCACTTGCTTGTTAGCACATAGCAAATATTTTGGATCATTATAAATGTCCAAACTACATAAATACTGAAGAAAATAAATACTAAAAGTATGTAACTGGTTAGTGTGAACCTGGTCAAACAAATTCTGGAATAAAACCATTAATTTAGAGAACAGTTAATTTTAGTAAATGAGAACTTTCAAATTTTACCAGAAGTGCTTGTGAGCTTAAAATGTATATATGAAGAAGTGCTTAGATAAATTAAACCGCTGATTTTTAAGACATAATACATAACATATCCTGTGTTAGTCATTTGCATAATAAATTATGAGGGTAACCAAAGACTAAGTTAACATCACATTGTACATCATGCCAGCTGCCTTTTGAGTACTGTGTCCACAGAACATTCTGTCATGTGACAGATTAGTAGACTGTAATGACCATAAGCCTCTCCTGCTATAGCATATTTTATGTTATGCTTAAAAGATTAAATGAGCTTTATATATTTGCTGATTTTAAAAATAAATATAATCGTTAAAATTCCCCATTATATGTACTATAAACATATACAAGAATCCTAAGTATTCCAGAGAAGTGATGTAGAATCAGTCTCTAAAACTGATTGACTTTAATCTCATTTTTCCCATTTTAACTTCAAATAATTTTCATGTCAGGTGCTATTTGGTAGACACAAATGTTAAAAAGAAGGAAACTTCCTTTGAATCTTCAAGTCAATTGACATTAATCAGAGGTCAGAAATTTGTGGGACTGTTCATTTTTGGTAGTTGCAAAAGGCTGTTGATTTTAATTTCTCCTTACTAAATAACTGTATTTCATGGATGGTGTCATTTATATGTGGAATATAGGGAAACCAGACAAAGAGTCAGACAGAGACAAACATTAAACGTAACCCTTTAAAGCTGACTACAGAGCTGAAGCATCTAGAAGACAAGGGGAGTGCACTGAGAGCTATGGAGCTATGTATAGGAGAAGGCTATTTTGATGGTGGGAAAGCAGTGGTGACCACACCTGAGGAGAAATATAATGCTGTCAAAATATTAGCAAGGATGTTAAACAATGGTACTTCATTACATTAAAATAATTAATTTTTTAAAAAATCTGTTTCGTTGACAAGATACCCCCAGGACTCACCAGTTACTACTTCCTTAACATTTCTTTGTTTTTTATAGGAAGAGGAAAATCTGTGAGCTCTACGCCAAAGTGTTAGGATCTCAAGAAGCTTTACACGTAAGAAACTCTCAGCTCTAATCCCTAAAAGGTTCTGTTCCTAGTGGTAAAGTAAAGCAGATTATCGCTTTCTGACAGTCTTCTAAAGAAAGAGTGTAAAGGGTTGTTCTTACTGAAGGATTTACTTCAGACAATCACCAAAGGCCATTAAAAGCTGCCGTCAGTTGTATGTAATTTCTGATGCTGGTTCCTTGGGCTATTTAAATGTTCACTGGCTAACTAGCAGCCAGTTGTAATCAGGGCCTGCAGGCTTTGTCTCCAGTGGGGGTGAGATCATTTTCCAGAACAGAGGTTCTGCCCTCCTGTCAATGTCAACTGACTGCTATAAAATAAAATCCCAGCTATGTTATCATTTGTTGTTACAGGCACAGTAGTATATCTTGATGAGATAGACTGAATCTAGACTCTCTGCCCAGGTCAAAGTCATACTAATTTATTTCTCTATTGTAGACTTAATTCACAGCTCATTTAGGATATTCAGTGTTTTCAATCAACCACTGAAAGAGATGATGAGAATAAAATCCATTCTAAAGAAACTACCACATAGCTGCGGGCTCTTTTGGGGATATATTATCTCTCAACTGTTCAAATAATAAATTTGCATAATGTGTTAAGGAAATCAGAGAATGTTCTATCTTGTCCCTTGGGAGGAACATTTTTCATCTTAATTGTACCCTTCTTAGGATTCCCGTCATTCAGTTCTCCAAGTTATAGAGTGATTTGGGGAAAAGCTTTTCCACATGTGCTTCTACCTCCAGCCTTCTACCTGTACTCAGCAGTAATGCCTCCATAGAGAGGGAAATACACTTGCTATTTAGGGAATCTGAAATTTGAGCACACCTTTTCGAAAACCTGATTGTTGATGGGGTTTCCTGAAAATTTAAAGAACATGGGAGGGGACGCGGGACACCTTCTCTCAGTTGGAATCCATCCTGTGTCCACAATTCCAGATGTGGTCTGTTTCCCATACAGGATTTGTTACTTGGTACCTCACCAAGTAACAAACCAAGTAACAAGAGGCCTCGAATCACTTGCTGCTGACATGTTTCCCATTAAGTTAGCTAGAAAAACGGGCCATTTTTTTTAATGTAACCTTTGTGTTAAACACACACATCCTTCATTGTTGACGCACAACATTTAAGCTTTGTCTTCACTTTACAATTCTCTTTCCTCTGTCTGTAGCCGGTACACTACGAAGAAAAAAACTGGTGTGAGGAGCAGTACTCTGGAGGCTGTTACACTGCCTACTTTCCCCCGGGGATCATGACACAATATGGAAGGTATTCCCCAGGCCCCACACCAGTTAATGCAAGACATGCACCAAACTTAAAGAGAGAAGTAGTTTGGGATTTTATTTATTTATTTTGTCAGTTGTTTACACATCTATATAACATTGAGGTTATGTTTTTACTCTTCCATATGGTACATGGAGATAGATAATATTCCTCTTTAAGGCCCCAGAGAGTCAACTTGTTTATTTCTGGATATCTGTAGAAAAGTGAGTGTGTTGGTACATAGAACAGTAACGGGATACTGGTGGGGAGTTCAGATGTCAGCAATACACGTGAGAATTCTGCAAGCCATGGTGTCCTCTACGGGATGTCCCCACTGCATACAGTTAAGGTGTGAAGAGGTGATGTCCACAAGGGTCAGGGAGTCCACCTTGGCTTAAAAGCCCCATGCCTTCCAGAGCCGTTGTCTCATGTAACAGCCTCACAGTCACCGTGTTCAGGGTCCTGTTACGGGACATGCCCAGTCTGAGAGATTCCACACTTAGGGATGTCCAAAGGGATCGCTTCCTGCCAGGGTTTACAGTTCCTAGGCAGTTTTCACTCCCAGGTGCAGTTTGCCAACGTGGGGCTCAGGAGAGGCGTATTTAGCATACGTGGTGATTCTTGGTAGTTTGGATGGCATTATACCTTCTTCAGACTTCCAGAGGAGCTGTACTAGAGAATTAACTCATGATCATGTTTGTCTGTGGAGGGGGAAGAAGGGTTTGTTAACCCTTTCCTTACATGAACTTTATGGATTTTGGTTATTTTTTTCTTAATGGAATCAAATAATCTCTGTTAGTAATAGCAGGATTGATTGACTGGAGTTGTTCTGGAGTCAAAATAGAAGTCTAGAGGATGGAGCTGGGGTCAAGAACAGATGAAGCCAAAGAATGCTGAATTGGAAAAAGTGATGGTGGGTTGAGGTGAAGGTCTTGGAGGTGATGTTACAGCCCAGGAGATTTCATGACAGTGTCTACAGAGGAGGCAGGACAAGCTTGGAGTTGCTTATTCAGCCCAGCCTTCCTGGGCTCTCTTTACCAAGACCTTTTGGCAAGAGGAGACCCATTTTAGCTGCCCTCAGCCCGTCTCCAGGTAATTTCATGGAAGACTGTACAGAGGCTGTTTTTTAAAGAGACAGACTCATAATCCGCTGGGTCTCTCCTTTGCCAGAAGTCAGTTACTCTCCCCATCTTCTCACTCACCTCTGTGGTGGTTCCTCCTGATACCTTCGGAGTGCTCGCATTCCTGGAGCCTGGCCACATGGCCACTGTCGAAGAATGCACAGCTTGGAAAGACAGTGTAGAGAGCAGAAACTACCACAAATAGTAAATACACAGCAAATAAATCTGATTGTGGATTTACATTCCATTCTGACTGGCTTGGAAAGGTCACCCTCACTTTTAGTGATTGATGATCTGACAGTCTGATCCTTTCTGGCTTGAAAGCTCAGTTGTTTGGGTGCAGACATAGGAAATGAGGAGGGGCCTTTCTTTCTCCTTTGAGTTACATGGGTGTGTTTGAAAGGAGTTCAGTTTTCTGATCTGCTGTTGGGTAAATGAGGGCAACGATTGGGCTCTCCTGCCTTCAGCGCCTTCCCAGGTAACTGTGTGTCTATTGTGTTCCCTTGAAGGGTGATCCGACAGCCAGTAGATAGGATTTTCTTTGCTGGCACAGAGACTGCGACACACTGGAGTGGCTACATGGATGGTGCAGTAGAAGCCGGAGAAAGGGCGGCTAGAGAGGTAAAGGAAGAAGCTGGTTCACTCTGAGTCTGGCATCTGGCCTTTCTAGACCTGCATACTGATAAATATGTGTGTGTTACTTTTTTCCCCTCATCCCACTCAGCCCCACAAATGTGGGGCTCGTTTGTGGTCAGCAGGGCCTCGAATCTGTGATAACTACACAACCTCATTTCATAATACCATGACTTCCCTTTCAGGTCTTGAATGCGTTGGGGAAGGTGGCAAAGAAAGACATCTGGATCCAAGAGCCTGAATCCAAGGTAAATTTGGTGGGTCCATGACCTCCACAGACCAGTAACTAACTGCATGTAAAACTCCTGTCCCATCTTCTAACCTCTACTGTCCTTGCAGGCGCCTCTCCAGGGTGTATTAATGCACTAATTTTACAGAGATGGTCTGCCCCGCTCTGTCAGTGCAAGAGCTTTCTGCTAATGGTCTCTGTTTATCCATCTAGGAAGTTCCATCCATGGAAATCACTCACACGTTCTGGGAGAGGAATCTTCCTTCAGTGTCAGGTCTCCTGAAGCTCATTGGATTTTCTACATCAGTAACTGCCCTCTGGATTGTGCTATACAAATTCAGGCTCCTGACACGATCCTGAAGCTTCATGCTTATGCTTTTCGCTTACTCTTTTCCAGCACATCAGAAAGAAAATCTTGACAAATTAAAGTCTGTGTCCTTGGATCATCTTTAAGTCACAGACTTTAACCCTTCAGTTTAGTCTCAGTCACTGCTAACGTAAAAATGACCCAAAGAATCACCTCATTAGATCAACCTCCATGTTGCTAATTGTCTGTGTAATTAACTTGTATTGATTGGTGGAATAAACCTTACGATTGACTTCTTAATTTCAAGAAGCTAAAGCTGAAGTGTGTATCAGCAAAATTTTTTGTGTCCTGTGTGTCTCCCCTTTAACACCAAATGCCTGACGATAATGGAAATGAAACATTTAACTTTCTCTCTGTAGAGGTTGAGTAGTTAAGACCCAGCTTGTGACTGTCCTTTTCAGTCCTTAGGCAATTTTGAAGTGTAGGTCTAGAGCTCAGAGGCTCACAACTTTCTGGGGGAACAGCTCCCACTTTGGTAAGGGGATAACAGTAAATGAAAGCCGTGCAGGTGGGCCAGTTGGGGGGGCGGGCATCTAATAGGTCACTGCCTCAGGATTTCCTGACCACTTCTAATTCCCGTGAAGTTTCTAGGCATCTCGTCTGCGTACTGGCTTGTTTATGTTCTCCTCTATTTGCTTCTTAAAGGGGAGAGTGCTTATCAAGGTATAGTGTTCTGTTGACTGGCTGTGACTTTTGTGCAGCTTCCCCGATGAGCAAAGTAAGACAGTGACAGGGCTGCCCCCCCCACCACGGAAGGTCTCCCTGCTCCCCATGAGACCAGCTGCAGTGGGCATCTCCTCTTCCTCATGGTGGCTGGACATCACTGCTTATTACCAATATACGCATCTCTGCCATTTTCAGGAAAGTGGTATTTTCCTTTGTTTTAGGTATACTCCAGCTGTCTGACAGCGCCTACCAGTGTTTATCTTTTCTTCTTTCCTAAAACTGTAGTAGAATTCCACAGATCTTTTCATTTAAAATATGTCTTCAATGTGTTTACCTTTAAATAAAAGTTAGCCTGCCAATTTCAAATAGATATTGAAATAGACATGATATCATTTCTGATTACTATTTGTTGAGATGATCAGATGCAGAAAGGAAAGGAATTCAGACTCTAGTATAGCCTACCTTGCTATAATTATTAAATTTTATAAAAGATATGAAACTGAATCTTTTTATATATGAAGGCTAAATTTTCTAGCTTACGAGTCACTTGGGTCCAGGACAGGGTCTGTCTCTCACTTTTCCCATTTGAAATCTGTCAGATTCTTAAAGGCCCAGTCCAAAGATTTCAAACATAAGATACTTTTTTAATATAAATATCTGGATAATATGATACATTTGTGTTCAGATAAAGCAATTGAAAACATTTGGCAGATTTGGGCACACAGGTGCTGAATATGGAGTCGTATCTTATCCCACCTCATTGATGAATGAGACATTTCATTTGAAATGAAGTTTCTGGGGAGCTGAAGCTTGTTCTTCTATGTGCCAAAATTTTTTAATAAACAAAACTTAATGGACATGTTTCCAATACTTTAAAATAAGCTAGGTTTAGCTGCATCTTTTTTTATTAGTCAGGTCAACCATTGTCTCTCAATTATTTTATACTTTTATAATGGGGGTGATACCATTGTGTTTTCCCCAGTAGTAAATGTTGCATAATTTTTTATCTAATGGGAATTAGAGATTGCCAGAAAAATAAAACCTCAATATTATTACATAACTACCATAAATTCAAAATTAAGACATTGAATCCTGATGTGAGGGCTAAAGGTATTCCAACGTTTTACCTTCCTAAGAGGAAGAGCAGGATTTTTCTGTCACACTTTACCTTGCAATTGAAAAGTACTTTAACTTTGGAGTTTTATTAATTTCTTAAATATGTTCCAGTCCATAAGGAGTTACAGCTTAATATAGCAAACTGCTTTGAGAAATCACTTCTCTGATCTATTTCAGTTGTTTCTGTTCATCTACTGATTAACTCAATTCAGACACACCTTTTGGGAAATACTGATTTAACTTCTTAACTGATAACAGTTTTAACACTAATGCATATCTCACTAAGTGTTGAAGGTTCAAGGGCTCCTGGGTATGCTATTTACCTTCTTCAGCTTTTCAGGAAGCCAGTTAATTTATCCAAATTATATTAGCCCTGGTAAGCTACAGATTATCAAAATGAATGCCAGTACAGATGTGCCTAGAAATGAAACTGGAGCTGAGGACTCCCTCCAAAGTGCATGTTCAAGCAGGTTGGCCAATACCAACATCATCAAGAGTCCAATACCAACATCATCAAATCAGTTTAAGCAGCAGCTAGAGCCTGGCCTTGTGAAGGCATCACTTCACAATTTTGGAAGACAGTTGGCCTCACTCCATATGCAGGTGGAGATTATATTTTAAGTGTGAATCTTGTCAAAACTGTTAAGTAAGGACTTGTACAACACTGAAGAAAAAATGTCAGAAAGTGAACTATGTCTGGTTTGATTGTGAACTTGGTCCCAAATGTTTTATTCGAAACTTGCCCAGTGCTACACGTGGGAATACTCATATGTATGTGTTTCGCCACCAAAGTATGGTTTTGCCTGTATAGTACTGTTTTGTTTGTTAATAAAGTGCACTGCCAACCTCAACTCAGTCCTGGACTCTCTATTTGGTTGATAGTTTGAAGGTTAATTGGCTTCAGGTGATTCCCTGAATCGGCTAGCAGGTGATTCCCATGAAGGTCCCATCTATGGAGGATGGGCTTAAAATGCCACTTGATAATGACTCCAAATTTTCAGAGTTTGTGTTGATGCTCATATTTTATCAAGGTCTCCTGAGAACTAGCTAAATGCTATAATTTTGTCATCTGTCTGACCACAGAAGATGTGGAATCTGACAGGAGCTTCCTCTCCTGATTGGCTTTATGGAACCAAATCACTTTGGTTCTCTGTCTCTCAGACTCATCTGGAAGAGGGTGGGTTACACTTGGTGATATCTGAGATGTTTTTCATGGCAGCATTATGTGATTTAAACATCTGTTGCCAACCTTCTGCCTATTACTGTGACAAGGGAGAGTCACTCAGCTTTCTGTGTTTCGGTTCATTCCTCATCCCAGGAATGAGAGTGACATGTAGTGACATGTAGAGCCATGGCAGAAAGTTTGTTGGGCACAGCTCTCAGAAAACATACCTAAGGGTGTGAAGAAAGCAGGATCGGGCAGGAGTTGACCTGCAAAGCAGATGCAACTAAAGCCTAGGCAAATCCTAAGTGGGAGTGTGGAAGGCCTTTCTGAGCTACCCAGCTGAGGAAAGGAGGATGAAAGGACAGTGTATCTCTCATTTCCCCCTGGCGATGTTCCCTCAGTGAGGCCAGTCCAAGCTCGATTCCTAGTGAGGAGCTATAAGCAATGAACTGAGATAAACTTGCATTTCTGGCAGTTGTGGAGAGTCAGGGAGGGGTGCCCACAGTTCTACTTTATTCCCTCTGAATTATAGGGGGTTGTCCTTTGTACTATAAAAGATACTGTGGTGTTGAACTCTGGTTTTATAGATAGATGAAATTACTTTGTGAACCTATCCCTGTTAAGTAAGGGAACTGCCTTTAGAATTTGGATTTTGGTGCTATTCTTTAAAATTTTTTTTGGTAGATACTATTTATTTCTAATATAAATTTCAGGAGTATAGCCTTCACAGCTCCATAAACATATATAACACACCACACCCATCACCAAATTTCTAGTTCACTGTGTTCCATCATCCAAGTGTTTGTGTTTGTTATATTTTTCATTTGAGTGGTTTCTTTATATTCCATATGTGAATGAAATCATAGTAGTATTTGTCTTCTTTTTCTGATTTACTTCACTTAGCATGGTCATCTAAAGTTCTATCCATGTTGTCACAAAGGCAAGGTTTACATTTTTATTTGTGAGTAATATTCTGCTGTGTGTATATCACATTTGCATCCTCTCGGCCACCAAAGGCACTTAGGTTGTGCGTCTTGGTTGTGAATAGCGTATTTCTGCAGAAAAAAAAAAGCAGAATTAGAGGAATCTCTGAAAATAGTTCAACCTCTGTCTCAAACAAGGTACCACTCTTCAGGTTACTAATAGAAAATTCAAAGAGGGTAAACACACTTACAAGCAAGAGTTCAAAAGCCAATGTCTTCAAGAGTCAGACCACTAAAAATGAAAAGCACCAGCCATGGGACATGAGGGAGTGAGGCATATGGCTCTTCTAGGCAGTTCTCTGAAGAGCATTTATTTTCAAATTTCCTTTCATGGACTGTGAACCTTTCAAAATGTAGTTAAAGGATTTGCTCATGTGTCCACATTGTTCTCAAGTCTGCCAAATAAAATGCAAAATTTGGTTTTATATCAGGGAAATGCCAAGTTCTTTTTGGAAGTCTTTGCTTTGCTGAGAAATGAGCACCAAGACCAGCACCGAATTTTGTAAAACTACATGGAATGGACATGATTAAGAAAGGCGATAAATAGGGGCTGGGGGAGAGTGAAGAAAAATCCCTTTTGGGGAGAAATCTCCCCTATGAAATAACCCTCCCCTATGTCCCCCCCTGCTATGTCAATGTCTTGGTCAATGACAAGAGCAATGCCAAAGTTTGTTGGAATAATGTTATAGTGAGATAAAAATCACAACATTTAATCTGTGCTGATACAATTTAATTCCAGTAAATAGGTCATCAGCATTGAATAGCTTACCTTCTTAAAACTGTATTGTTCACTTTACTCTGAGGCAGTGGTAAATATGCAAGGTGTACCCCCCTTGCCTGGAGAAACTTGGCTGAGACATCCTAGGGGCAGGACCAAAAAATAGAAAGGTACTGTGAGGCAATACCAATTCCCCTTCTTCAATCAGACCTCAGATCTTGGGGTACTGGTTCTCTTTCTGGTCCCAGGCTGTACTCTTTTTTTTTTTTTTAAAGATTTATTTATACATACAGAACTGGGGTACAGGCCAGAGGTGCGGAGGGTGAGGGGATTCACCAGAGACAGAGTGGGGAGCAGAACAGGCAGATCGACGAAGTACACTGCTGAGGGGAGCAGCGGGCGGGTCAGGAGAGGTCTGCCACGCCATGTGGTCACCTCCAGGGCAGGCGGGAATCGAACTCATGCGGAAGTGGCTTTAGCTTCTCAGTGCTGTGCTTTAACCCGCTGCGCCACCAGGGAGGGCCCCAGGCTGTACTTTTTACAGCTCCAAGGCAGGTCTCAAAATGACAGCTGATATGAACTAGCTGGATTAGCCTGGAGTCAGGTTTCTATAGGCAGAGTTGGGGCCTTATGTGAAAAAGTTGTGAGGGAACTTGGAGTTCTTTCAAACACCCCCCCCCAACCTTTAAAGCACATATGACACATACAAGATAATTATTAATTTACACTATAGTTACACACATAGTTACACATCAATGGGATGTGTAAACTAGTTACACACCTAGTTTTCCTATTAATCAGCCTCATACTTTCTGAGAACCATGGGTAAAATAGAGTGAAGTGGTGTGGGTAAATGCTAAGGCAGAGCAAGGATGTAAAATAACGGTACTTTAATACCATTAAATTCTTTATTTAAGTATTTAGTACTTTAATAATGGAGAAAGGAAATGGGACACTACTTGACGAGCAATCCAATTTGATTCTTGATGGTTCGGTACCCACTAAAGGGAGTAGGACCCCCTCAACTTTGTGTCATTTACCTCATTCCTGCCTCTAAGCAGCCATGCTGCACTCAGATACTTTCCTCAGAGAGGGGGAAAAGTAAGATGAGGTAGGGAAGGGCTTAGCAAAGCAAACACTCAACAAATATTACCTGTTACTATGAAGCTATCCAAGCTCTCTGCAGCCACGGCCTCCTGAGGTGGATTCGTGGCTGGGAAGCTACACACATGGCGTAGCAGACCTCTCCCGTCTTGGCGGCTGCTCCCCTCAGCAGTGTATTTCAGTACATCGACCTGTTCTGCTCCCCACTCTGTCTCTGGTGATCCATTCACCCCCCCCACCTCTAACCTGTACCCCAGTTCTTGTATGCATAAATAAGTAAATATTTTAAAAGACATAAGTAAATATTAGCTGTTATTCATCAGCCTGTCAAAACAGCAGCAAAACACTTTTTCTCAAAATTCTAATTTTAACAAAAGTAATGTACGTTTAATAAAAGTAATAATATAC